TTGCTGATATCTGGTCTTCAGGTTAAGTGCACAGCCACAAAGACCTGAGGAAAAACGGGGCTATCTTCCTTGGGCTAGGAGTTGGAAAGATGGAGTTGGAAAGAGAGAGAGGTTTGTAAACCTGGCTTATTCCCAGATGTACTGACTGAGATTAGTGGGAAAGGCTTTGCCAAGGGGCCTGAAACACCCAGCTAAGCATGTATTCATCTGAACAAGCAAAACAGTTGGTCTCCACATGGCAGGTGACAGATGGGGTGGGGGTGGGGGCCCCTTTAAGTTAATTAGCACTAGGATACTGCCTAAGCCTCCTCAACCCCTGGTCTGCCAAGCAGCCAATTAATTTGCTGTTTATTAGGTGTCTTTGGCCGAAAACAAGGACAAGAATCTTGGTGAACTTAGTAGAAAAACATGAGCATTCCCAGTTTTTCGAAGGTACCTTTAAAAAAAAAAAAGGCAAAACAGGTGGTTTTGGGGGTCATGACATACCAACCAAAGTACTCTAATGGGAAGTGGTCTTTCTAGAGAACAGATCTATGCTAGACTTTCTCTTTCAAAAAGTTCCAGCTGTCCACTTTTTAAGGCGTTATCACTACCACCACCGCTGCCTACTCTCCCAAGGTAAAGTTTTAATTTACTGCCAAAGAGAGCTGTGGTGGTGCAGCGGTTAGAATGCAGAATTGCGGGCTAACTCTGACGACTGCCAGCAGTTCAGTCCTGACCAGTTCAAGGTTGACTCAGCCTTCCATCCTTCCAAGGTCGGTAAAGTGAGGACCCAGATTATTGGGGGTGGTGGTGGTGGCAATATGCTGACTCTAAACCACTTAGAACTATAAAAGCACTGTGAAGCGGTATATACGTCTGTTGCTATTGCTAATTGGAGAGAAGAATCTCAACAGGCCACCTTAATTAATCTAGGAGGTTTTTGCAAGAATGCAAGTGGTTGAATCTCCCTCCAAGTGCCGACAAGGATGGATTTAAAAAGGCAAAACCAGAAGCACAGACTTGTGACTAAGAGTTCTTTTCAGTTTTGTAAGTAATCCTCAACTCACAACCATTCATTTAACAACCATTTGAAATTGCAATGGCACTGAAAAAAAAAAAGACTGACAACTGATTCACACACCTACAACCATCACATCATCCCTGGGGTCATGCGATCAACATTCTAGTGCTTGGCAACTAGCACACATTTGACCAATGAGGTCATGTGATCTCCATTTGCGACCTTCCCAGCTGGCTTCCAACAAGCAAAGGCAATGGGGAAGCCAGACTCATTTAACAATTGCAGCCAAAAAGGTTGTAAAATTGGGCAGAACTCACTTAACAACCACCTTGCTTAGCAAGGGAAGTTCTTGTCAAAATTGTGGTCATAAGTTGGAATGATTTATATCAAGCTTTAGGAATGCCTCACATTGGAAATGGTCAGAATTCTCTTGACTTTGGCGTAACCGCGTAGTGTGAGAATAACTGTGATTTCTTCAAGAAACCATGGTTGAACAAACCATATCTTAATATAATTTAAGAACTCAATTATTGATTGAAAATAGCTTCATGTCACTGGAACTGTAATTTTGCCTTCTTTCACCAGAAATTAAAATGCAGTGGGCCTGATTTCTGTAATATGTATAACATGTTACACGGTGTAGTTGCTCAGTATCTTGTTGGGGAAGGTGTGCTTGTGTATTATCTCTATGCATTTCTTTCTCACACACAGAGCTCTGTGGGGTGCATTTACTGAATTCAAGCCATGTTTGCAAATACAGAATTCTTGTAAATGTACAGCGCAATGGAACTAGTGCTTATAGGCATGAATAGCAGAACCAGTGGTTGTAAGTACACAAAGTACTTATCTTCTGTTTTAGAGGGTGCCCTCTTCCCCTCCGACTTTAGATTTTATCACAATGAGCTTCCTGGAATAAGTCAAGAATGATCTCTATCAGGCATCCGGTTGCTGGAAGGTGAAAAGTGCTTCTAACAGCACCACACTTCATGTCAAGAAGCCCCGAGTTCAGCCAAATTCAGGATTTTCCATACAAAGTGTCCAAGCCTGGATGGAAACCTACATCTTCAGTCACAGGAGCAAGGCCATACCACAGTCATTTCAATACAGAGGCAAGATGACCCCTGCTCTGTCCAAAGTTAAATTTAACTACACTGCTTTGGATCTAGATTGAGGTCATAGGTTTCACAGGCAGAAGCCGAGCCACCCAATTGGGAACCGCTGGGCTGCAAAAGAAGCCAGAGGCTGCGGGGAAGAGAATGTGTGGACTCAGCATCATGAAGGAATGCTGAAGAACAACTGGGTCACTTGGGGCTCAGCAACAGCTGGATAACCTCAAAAGCTTTGGCAGCAGAACATCCAGAGAAGCTCCTACTCTCTAAATCAGGGATGGGGAACGACGGCCCTTTTATGACTTGTGGACTTCAACAGAAATGAGGAGGTGATAAGCCACCTGGGAAAGCCAAGGGAAATCGTCAAAACCATAAAAAAGTGAAAGTTAGAATATTTTGGACATGTGATGAGACACCCGGAAAAATACGGCATACTTCGCTTAATCCTTCAGGGAAAGATTGAAGGCAAACAAGGTCCAGGCAGAAGAAGAACATCATGCTTCAACACCCAAAGGACTGGTTTGGTCAAAACTCAGCAGCACTTTTTTGTGTAGCTATTGATAAAAATAGGATCACCAACATGATCGACAAAGTCCGATGATGGATATGGCACAAGAAGAAGGACTTCAACTCCCTGAATTCCTGATCCAGCATGGTTGGCTCAGGAATTCTGGGAGTTGAAGTCCACAAGTCATAAAGGGGCCATCATTCCCCATCTCTCCTCTAAATTCTGCTCTTCCAACCCAATAAGACAATTGGCCTTGGCCTGGACTGGGCAGCATTTGGCGACCTTTGGTGACCCAAGTCTTCTTGGCAGCTTGAAGAACTTTCAAATCAAGAGGTCACTTTCCTTGGTTTCTTGAGAAAGTCCACTAGCAGATGGTTGAAGAGTTCCAAGGCCTTCATCGCCGTTTGTAAGACCAATAGAAAATGAGAGCACAACTGTCTGAATGCAAAACATCTCACAAGTTTTATCCAAAAGTTTACAGTGGAAACATTGCTGCACATGTCTGTACAAAAATCCAACTCTGAATCAGGTTTTTATGCATACAGTTATTGGCACATGGTGCCTCCCTAAATTGCTGGCCTTGCTTTGTTTGTTTGTTGCTTTCCCCCCACTTAACATCTCTTGTGAGAAATATCTGTCAGGGTACACAACGGCCACTCTTTTCCCGTCTGCGCTGTGTCACCCCTCCTCCTCTCTTCCTGCAGCTACTTCCTGAGATAAAGTTAAAAACAAAAAAAACCAGAAAGCTGCCCTTTGGTTTCCCTCACACAAGGCATTTGCTGGTGAGAGGTTGGAACAGTCAGACTCGAAGCTGTTTTCAGAGGCACAGTTCTGTTCTGAGGGACTTCACTTAAGGCCAGGGATGTGGCTCACCAAATGTCGCTAAACTACAATTCCCAAGAGCCTTTGCTGGCATAGCGGATAATAAAGGGGGGCTGGGAGTTGTAGTGTTGTGGCATATGGAAGATCACAAATCACCTTTTGCCTAAGTTTTAGACAAACACCTCTTTTTGTTTTGTCTAAGGTTCGTCCAGCCTTCCTCAACCTGGCACCTTCCAGATATGCTGGATTACAATTCCCATTTTTTCAGCCAACATAACAAGACTCTTTGTGTCTATGCTTGTCCATGTCCCCCTCTCCCTTTCTCCTTCAATAGTTTTAAGCAATTCTGAGAAAGATGCTGTGCTGGGATTTGAGCAGGGTAGCCACAAATTTCATTCTGCCTAGCGCCTGACCTTCATAATAACTAGCTACCCTGCAAAATCTGGATCCAGATCTTTAAAGTTCGGCGCTTATTTGACTTCCACTGTTTCTCTTCCTAAGCAGTTCTGAGAATTACTGTATAATTCAGCAGGAGCAAAGTGGGGACCTCTGACAGAGCCAATATTTTGCAGACTTGGAGAAAAGTTGGTAAAACTGGAATAAATTGAATTTAAATGTTGTACTTCCTATTGGCCTTTCAAGTAGAATTAGGTACACTGAAAGAAAGAAAAAATGTTCACATCACCACGTCTTTTCTTATAACTTTTCCTTTCAAAGTTGCTCTAGATGAACAAGGAGAGGAAAAATGTGTAATAACATCTGGATTTTTTTAAAGACTGGAGGGAAGTTGTGGGGAATTGCTGCAGAATCTGGAGGCAATGAGACAGACAGGATGTGGCTCCCCAGAGCAGATATAGATATAGAACAGCTCAGAAACCACATTTATACAAACTGTGTATAGGGGGGAGGGGTTGGAAGGGAGTTCCCCAAACATTTACAGCTCAATCAATGAATTCGTAGGCCTTCCCAGCAGGAGGGAAAGTATCTGCTGCTATAGACATGTGGACTGAAATGCAGAAATAAAATGCAGAAATATCTTGGAGTTCTCGCTCCAAGATATGGACTCACAAAGTGAACTGTGTTCCTTCTTCTAAGCCTATCTTAGAATTGACCTGGCCCCAAGTGTAAGGGAAAGATTGAACTTGATGTGCATAAAATGCCTGGCAGTCTTGCCTTTCAATGCTTAAAAACACAAAACCAAAATGCAGAAATATCTTAGAGTTCTCGCTACTTTCGTGGCCACCTACGCAGCTCACTCCATCCTATACCCTTCTAAATGTAATGCAAATTTCCAGCCAACGTGCCCAAATTCAAGGGGATGAAACCGGGAATTCTGGGACTTGAAGTCCCAATGCGCGTCCAATAAAAGGTGTCGGTAGCTCTTGCCTTCTACTTTTTGCCTCAGATCTGAGTTTTCTCTATCTGACTAAACCTCAAATGCTACTTCATGCTCTAGGCTAAGTTAACATGCTGGTTCTTCTAATGTCCCCCTCATTAAGTCCTAACAAAAACCACCCAATGTACAAACCCAAACCAAACATTCCAGTTTTTTTAAAAAAAATTATCCCTGCTAGTTAAACCAATAATAATGTTCTGTTTCCATTTCTAAAAGTCACCCTATGGCCCACAATGACAAAGAACCACCCGATAACTCAAAGAGACTGCTTTATGCCAATTCCTGAAAAACACCCCAAACCAAAACCACCCTCGCATGAATGAAGTATACAAAATCACGTGTACTTCTTTGGCCTCACAATGTGCTATGATTTTTTTTCTTTTGAGGTCTTTTTTTCTCCCCACCACCCGTTTCTTCCTAGGACGTTGAAGACCCACTGTCACACACACCCCCTCCCACCCAGGTTGATGAATTACTCTTCCAAAAGTCCAGCGTGGATTGCAACCTGCATTTCCAAAGAGCTGATCTGCTGGCGTTCAGAAGCCCAGTCCCCTGTCAATCAAATAAATAAATAAATAGAGACCAGAGCAAGCAGGGGCAGCCGGCCTCACAGCTGAACTGTGCTTTGCTTTGCCCAATAAGAGTGTCCTTTTACAACTGGCTCTCCTCTTCCTCCAAAGAACGGTTCAACCCAGGAATAAACTTGAGGAATCTCTTGCGGAAGCTTCCCTGTTTGCTTTTGGGGGGCCTTGACGTGACCGCAGAGTTCTTTGGCTCTCTGCATTTGTCCCAGAAACAGGCCTCTCCGTTGGTGGTGGTGGTTGTGGTGCATTTGACGCTGATGCTGCGGGTTAATGTCGTCTTGGGGCGTGAAGACTGGGCTGCTGCGGGGACAATGTCCAGGGAGTCGGCAGAGTCAAAGAAGCAAGTCTGGTAAAGAGATTCCTCGGTCTCATCAGTGGCAGTGCTGACACAGCCCACGCTGCTGTAAGTACTCCCAGCTCCTCTCAACAGCATCCCGTAGGGTGTAGAGCCATACAGGCAGGAGCGCACAGACTCCAACGTATCATAGATGCTGGGGTCTTTAACCACAATCCCTACCAGAAAAGAGCAAACAATTACTGAAGGGAATGCAGGAACCTGCTTGTTCTCCCAAAGAGAAGAACCGATCCAGACTTTGGATCTACACTTTGTGGTAATCTTGGTTTGGCTTAGTGCGGTGTTTCTCAAGCTCAATAACTATAATTCGCATGGGCTTCAATTCCCAGAAACACTCGCCTAGAATGGGTTACACCAACTCAGCCAAGAGTGGTCTGTAAACCATAGAGTATGTCTTTCTGCTGCCAGCCCCTTCAGCCAGATTTGGTTCCCCTCTCCGTGACCTAGAAGACAATCACACACAAAAAAATGCTGACATTCTTCTGACACTCACCATGGACCAAGCGCTGCTCCTGGACCATCAATGACCGATATTCTCCCCATTTTTCATAGAGCGTTTGCTGCAATGGAAAGAAACAGACATTACAAACAGCAGCAAGGATCAGTCAAGGCTATGTATCTAGTTAAAATCTCCTTCAAGTGGTGCTTGACTGCTGGTGAGCCACCCTCCTTAAATCACATCCTTCCTTCTTTATTTGCTCTGTGGGTAGAGCAGATAGCTTCTCGTTCAGGGGAGGGTTTTTTTCCTTCTTCCAAGGAATCCAATAGGCAAGAGCTGGAAATTTATGGGCTGCAAAAAGACCGAATAAAAGCCTGACGTAGGAGAAGAGTTGCAGCCTGTTGTCCAACTACCTGCTGGTTTCTAAATGACACTAATGGCCCACCTACTTCTCAAGGATAGGGAGGCTTCCTGCTAAACACATAAAAAAAAAAATTCTCAGAACTGTAGATTCTCAAGACGACAAATAAACGAGGCTGTGGCTCCATTTATCAGCAGACTCTGCAGGTTAGAACTTCCACATTTAGTTTATGAAATATCTAATAAGAAAAATATGAGGTAGGAGATGATGAAGAGCATCTTTCTGAACAACGGGAGAAAAAAGAGAGTAGCTTAGGAATCAAAGCTGCACTGCATTATTATTAATTTAAATTTCTTTCTTTTAGAGATAGATAGGTAGATAGATGTAGACAGACAGATGATAGGTAATAGATAAGATAGACAGACAGATGAGAGATGGACAGATGAAAGATAATAAATGATAAGACAGACAGACAGACAGATAAATGCCTTTGAGTCAACATTCCTAGGAATAAGAGGAAGGGATTGGCTGAAAGTCACCTAACTGGCTTCATGCCTAAAATCAGACTAGAACTCACAGTCTGCTGGTTTCTAGCCTGATGCCTTAATTACTACAATACACTGTCTCTTTTATAATATTTATAAAGAACAAACAAAATCCAAAAATCAGGCAATGTTAAAAAAAATGTACTCAATTTAGTTATGCCAACTGTATTCTTTTATATCAGTGTAGATGTTCCTTTCGCAAGGTCCAGAATCACCTTAAATTACATTATAATCATGGGGAACAAGACTATTTTTAAGGGTCCCTCACCTCATAAAGGTACAATTTGAGGCCCACTACTTTTTCTTCTTCTTTTTTTCTTTCTTTTGGGGGGCTTGGAATGGAGGGGAAAATAGACCTCTTCAGAGGCTTCATACATCTATTTTTCTTAAACAGACCACTTAAACAAAAGCAGAATATAAAGGAAAAAAAGGAACTAGCCCAAAATTTCAGCCCCAGCATGGCTATCTATCATCATCCCTTCTTGTTGCTGTTAGGTTATATTGCATATGAAGAATTAGACCAGATCAAGAATTTCCTGCTGGGAAAAACTGACACATCAAAACCAACGGTGGGAATGACATTTACTGTGATAGAACAAAGTGAATAGTGCCAAAAAACATTTGATGGTGGAGGAAGTTAGCACCCACCCCTCTCCTAGAAAATTGAAATATCCTAGGAAATATTAAAAAGGCAGAATATTTCCTCTAAAAAGAGTAGAAACTCAAGAGGAGAAACTCACCTCAGAAGCAGAAACTCACCCCCACCTTTGTTAATGGGTGGGCCATTAAGGCCTGGGCCAGAATACTTTACATAACAAATATCTCCAGGTAAAGCTATAGCAATTGCCCAAAGCCCTTTTCAGTGCATAATCATCCAGCAAGGCTCAACCGAGCCTGGAACTCAGGACAGTCTACAGAGTTGCCCCTGCATGGCCTCCTCATGGGAGTCTGACAACCATTCAGAATCCAATTCAAATCCCAACAAAGATTATAAAACCCAGGCACTCTCAGCACCTCAGCCCTTTCTTGATCTCTTCCTTCACCTTGAAGCATGTGATCATCCTTCCTTTCCATTCTGGAGCTCCAGGCCATGTGGTCCTGGTCCACTATTAAACCTTCCAGTCTCATGTTTCCAGCACCTTTTTCCCCACTTGGAACTGAACCCAGAAGGATATTTCTTCCAACAATGGAAAGTGGAAATGTTATTGATCAGCGTAAAACAAATGTTAGCTTGGTCTGCACAACTATTCTTTTTTCTTCTGATGCCTATTTAAAATTTTAGTTTGCCAAGCGCTGCCCTGTATTTTCCTCTGATTTTCTCCATTCCAACACGTTATTGTACAGGAGATAATTTCTTTGGCTGGAGAGTTGCACAGAACCCCAAAATAAGGGAGCACAGTGGGTGCAGCAGAAGGCAAATGGGAAGGGACACATTCATGGGTGGGAGGACAGAAGGAGGGGATGGAATAGGGGAAGAAGTTTTAGCTTTGCTCCTTTTCCCCCTAGTGATTCCTATGCTGTGAAAACTGCTGTTTTTTTACAGTGAATACTGAGCCAGATGGTCTAGCAATTGCACTTGGCATAGGACAGCTGTCTGTGGTTTTTAGGAATATGGAGCATCCTGATCAAAGCCAAAAAAAAACCCCATGTAATTCTGTCTATACAAATATTTGCAGGGCAGTTACCCAGGTTGAGTTTTGAGATATCATTTCATGTCCATGTACAGGCCATATAATTCAAAACAGTTGCCTCTTCTTGGCAGCCACCCGAGCCAAACTCGTAAACATTTCATTGCCATGTTCCTGCTTGAATGCCACTCACCTTGAGATACTGCAAGCGAGCCTCCAATTCAGCCCTTCGGATTGATGCACCGTACAAGGTATCTAACCTGAACAGGGGACAAAGTGGGATGAGTGATGGCTAGGAAACCACAGCAGTGTCACATGGAGGAAGAGGGAGGGTGGAGGGATAGTTCTGGTTAAAAACATCAATTTGGCTTTTACCTGAGCACGTTTCCAGATGCTTTGATGATCTCCACAATCTCACGGTGCCGGATGCCTTCTACGTTAAGCCCATTCACCCCTGTGATTGTGTCTCCTATAAAGCAGATAAGCAACAATAAGGAGTCAGGGGGAACAAAGGATCTGTACTGGGCTCGCACACTTAAAACCGGAACTTAAGATATCACTTCTGCAAGTCTGCAAAAACATTCTTTATTTTGGTCTCTCAGGCTTGCAAGGATGGTGGTGGAGATAGGGATGGATGGAGACTCTGCCCCCCACCCAACTTTGTGTGTGTGTGTGTGTGGGGGTGGGTGGGGCTTGTATGCCTGATCCCCACATCTTCTAACACAAAGAAGGCTTTCAATCCACAATGGCCATAATCAGAGTTGACTGTGATCTCTCTGCTTCATGACTAAAAGAGGTGAAGTAATTCTTCCCCTTCCCCTGGTTTTTGCAACGTTTTGCTTAAAAGAAATGAACAAAAAAGCTTGCCCACACTTGTATTTATTTGGTCTTCATTAAAATTATTGCGTAAGTATGGGTTCAGGGGCATTTTAAACCTCCCAACGCAATCTTCCCATTCAGAAAAAAAAAATGATTCAGATGATGATAATCTATTACTACATAGAAAATGTTAACAGAAAATGTTAATGTCTTTCAAATTTCGCCTGAGATCGTTCTGCAACTTTTGAGCACAACTCATGATTTTGAAGACTAGGGTTGCTTACATAAAGAGCAAAAAAAACCTGTTTTGGTAGCCAGAAAATTTCCTGCCATTGGGAAAGATGATCCAAGCTTGGAGAGGCGTACTTTTAAAAAACACACCCTGTGCAAAAAGCAGGAAAAGCAGACTGAATGGGAAGAAAAGAAGGTACCACATTGCACAGCCAAACCCTCTAATTCAGGGGTGTCGAACTCAATTTCATTGAGGGCTGCACTAGGATTGTGTTTGACCTCGGTGTGTGTGTGGGGGGGAGGGGGGCAAGGGGCATGGCCAGGGTGGGTGTGGCCAGCTTGATGTCAATCATGTCGGGGGCACCTGTGATGGCCAACTGCTAAGGCAAGGCTTCCCTCAGACCCTCCCTTCCTCTCATTATCTCCTTCTTCTCTCTGTCCCTTCCTTCCATCCTTTTCTTCTTCCTTCCCTTTTCTTTCTTTTTCCTTCCTTGCTCTCTTCCCATCTTTCCTTTTTTTTGTCTTTCCTCTTTCCCTTTCTCCTTCCCTGTCTCTTCTAGGATGCTCAAATGCAAAAGAGGAAACATTTCTCCTTTTGTTTTGTTTTTAGTTCAGCCTACTACAGTCCTCTCCCAGTGAAAACAGAGCTTAGGGGACCCGAACTCTGTTTTTGCTGGCAGAACCACTGCAGGCCAGGCCTTTGCTGTTTCCGGGCCCAAATCTAAGGACCACGCTGGCCAGATTTGGCCCACAGGGCCTTGAGTTTGACACCTCTACTCTAATTCATCTGGATGCCTCCCTCACTCTGTCACCTCCATTTGAGCCTGCTGTCAATCTGACTCTTTAAATCAGTGTTTTTCAATCCTGCCCGCTTTAAAATGTATGGATTTCAACTGGCTGGAGAATTCTGGGAGTGGAAATCCATACATCTTAAACGTGACAAGTTTGAAAAAAATGCATGCTTTAAATGAAGATAACAATGCTCGCCTCTCCAGAGCACAGCAACTGGAAGGAGAGAAGAAGAAGGCAACCCTCATGGAAGCTGTGCCCCAGCTTTCTTCATGGTTACCTGTGATGTGAAGCCAGAGCTGGTTGAAGCCTCCTTACAAGGAGCCAATGAAACACAGGCAAGGAAGGAACAAGGAGAGGGAGCCTGCATTCCAGGCCTCTCTCAGAAAGACCCTGCTCTTTGGCTATTGTACAGCACAATATTTCTTCCACGAGTCCTGTGGGCCAGGAGACAATGGAAGCACTGCCCATTTTTAAGAGGAAAACGCAGAGTGTTTTGATTGTTAAGAAAAATGCCTAACATTCCAGTGAGCAGGAATGCCTGGTGAACTAGCATATTTTAAATCTGGAAATCCCAGCCGGACAAACTGATGATGTTAGGAAAAAGAAGAGCCAGGTTTTCCTGTTACTGTCTGTCTGGCTCTGTCTGGTGTGTGTTTCTTGATTTCCCCCCCTGTTTTAGACATATTAAATTGGTCTAATACCATTCCCTCCCCCTCCTTTTATTTCCCATGGGAAACTGGAAGGCAATTCTCGTTCCCCATGTTGGTGATCCAGAGTTAAATCTAGACAGGATAGTCCTGCCACTGTGAAATCTGCAAGGATTCCACATGATCCCCCTCAACTGTGGTCTCCTTTGATTCTAAATAACGAGAGGTGAGGAAATGCAGATCGTCCCTGCACAGTGACCACAATTGGGAAAGGTAACTCAGCGACTAAGTGAAATACCATGCGATTGCAACAGGCTTTCAACTGCAGTTGCTAAACAATTCACAGCAAGTCATTAAGCGAGACATCAAGTGACTGAATTAGGATCTCAAACGATGATCACGTGAACAGGAGATGGTATGTCTGTCGTATATGCTTGCTGGTTGCCAAGAGCTTGAATATCGATCGTGTGACTGTGGGAATGCTACAACGGTTGTAACTGTGAAGACTGGTGGTAAAGCTACTTATTCAGCATCATTGCCACTTTGAACAACTGCTGAATAGGACAGTCATTAAGCGAGTTCTATCTGTGCACTTTCCAATTTCTACTCCTTCACTTGGGGATCTCAGCACCTCTCCTTGGAACCTGATACAGAAGCTCACAGCCTGAGGCTTGGTAAAACTAGCAGACTGAGTTGGAGAGCGTCCGGCAGTAAATGAGATTGTGGAGCTCAGATTGTGGCCTTGCAGGCTCTGTTCTGTGAAGTAACAACAGGAGTCAGTGATGTCACGGAGTCTTCCAATGCCTTTCCACAGCAGAGAGCTACTCAGCCTTCCCTACAGTTGTAAAAAGTTGGGAGGAAGCGTGGAGACAATGTGAGACTAGGCCAAAGCCACCATACTTAAAAGTGGTGAAGACATGTAAGCAATGTGGACGAAAAGCCAGGAAAAGTTCCCCTAGGGAAAGGAACCAAGTCTTTAAGAGGACAAAAGGACAAGAGTTGGGCCTGAGCACATGGCAAGCCCCTCCTCAAGTTTCACCAACAAAGGGGTTGGGCCTGCATGGGAAGCCCCTTCCCACCAACTCTAGGGGACAAAAAGTGGTCCTGAAACCTGCCCAGCTTTTGAATTGTTTTTGGACCCCAGACTTGGCAGCTTCTGTCCCTCTGGCTAGCAGCCTAGTAGTGGACGCTGGGTAAATGTGGATGAGTGTGTGTGTCTGACTATGTATAAGAACAAAAATATATCATTAAAAGTTTGCTGTTATTTTAAATTCACTGAGTCTCTGTGTATTTTAAAAAAAACGTTTGTGCCTCAGTGTTTGGTTGATTTGGGATTGAGTGTGGCCATTTTCCAGGCCTGTAGGAGTGTGTGAGTGAGTGACCATAAGCTGAACCTCAGAATACATTTGTGTAACAACAATAAAACAGAGAAACTACACGAGTGTGCACTGAAATCCGCAGTTCAAGAAGACAGAGTGACAACCTCACTGGCCACTGAAGACCAGGAAGGCCTGAAATCTGAATCATACCTGATGATTTTAGCAGTCAGCTGTCGAGCTCCAGTGAAAGAGTACAAAGCAGTAAATGAAGCCTCTTACCAGGTTTAAGGCCTGCTGTTTGAGCTGGGCTGTTTTCGTGAACCCGGCAAACAAAAGTGAACATCTCCACACGTTTTGTGTCCTGATGGTGTAGCCCATAAGTCTGAAAATTGCCCAGATGGGAAAAAAAATTATTATTTATAATGGTGTGAGAAGGGTGGATTAGGGGTTGATGCTATAATCTATAATGAATGAGGTAAAGCAGCATGAAGAGCTAGACAGCCATAGCAAGCTGGGAGATGAAATGAATTCTGCCTGATTTGGATCATTTCTCATTCTCTGAAATGTTGAAAGATCAAACTCAGCCGAAAAGCGAGACAGGCCAGATTCAAGATGTTGTCATATTTTCCTCAGATTTGATATTCAATGCTTTCAAAATCCAAGTCCTCAATGTTCAGCTTTTGTAATGTCTGAAATTTGTATTGCAACTTTTTTTCTCATTTGCAAATGCCCCAAGGTATGTGATTTAAAACTCTGCCCTCAAGTCCTGCTGAGGGCAGCCCACAAAACTTCCTCTTAGCCGTTTGTGAGGTAAGTTTAGGAAGGAATAGAAGGCTTTCTCTCAACATTTACCTGAATCTCAAACCCATACGTTTGGCCCTCTTCTTTCTCCAGTGTGATCACCTTCCTGAAACAATGCGAGAGGAAAGAAATTCAGCTGAAATTCCTCAGGACCTTGCACGAGGCAGATTTAAGCCATATTCACCAAGTTGTGTGAGGATCTCTCTTCACTTTCTGATTCTTCCATCTTCCCACAGCTGAAGCACTGCCCCACAATATGATTTAGGTTACAGGAACTTCCCTTAGTCATAGTTCAGAAACTTCTGTCTGGTGTGTTCAAAGGGAAGTGAAAAGCAGCATTCTGCCTCTTAGCCAGGCAGCTGGATACAAACATTTGCCCTGCCCAAGAATCATCTCTGCGGCTCACAGTCCCTCTTTCCCTTACAGCTCCTTCCACCCACCACCACTTTAAGCCAATGAAACAGAGGAAGGGAGCAGCCTTTTGTGTATCATCCAGTCTTTATGAATTCAGAGCTAACAAAATAACAAAAGGAGATCCAAATGCAAAAACATAGCCAAAGCAAACACAAATGTAATCAGGGATGAGGTTGCTGAAGCAAACATAGATTCATAGCAAACAACCACTACATCATTCAAGAGTATGCTTTTATACATGTATCTCTTTCTTGCAGACACATTTACTGCAAAAAGGAGATCCGTAAGATAAATACCGAAGAATGGCAGACAATCTAACCTACTGGAATCCTCTTTTAGGGTAAATTATATGGATGGCTACTCCTCTGACAGCAGAGCCACAATCTTTCACAATCAAACAAACATTTTAAAATCCCAGTCAAATTCTCCTAAAATTTTTTTGAGTAACTTCAATACTAAAATGAAATAACGCTTATGGAATATTCTGAAAAATCACATGAGAAATGTTTGTATTGCCTTCCTATCCAAATAAACCCAGATTATCAATGTTCACTTTTTATCAAACTCTATATATTACCACATGACATTGCAAATTGAACATATGTTCTATCCTTTTAATGGAACTGTTCATTCAATGAACATGTTCCATTTTATGATATGAATCAATGTAGTATAAGGGTAGTAAGTGGACAAAATTTCTTCTTGATAAAAAATATGCCGCTATTTAATGAAAATTTGGCAAGGAGGAGACGAAGAATCCTCCTTTCGTTTCATGGAAAAGTTGCACCTCTTCATAAAACAGAACATCTGGCCACAAATAATGTATGGATGTATATACACACCCAGCTGACCGCCCTGTGTGCCTTTGTTCTACTTATTATTTCTGGAAAAGAAGTATGGTTGAAATGAATCAGTGACTCTCAAAAGTTTATTTAATTTTTACAAGCTGTCAATTGGAATTTAAGAAATGTTCCCAATATAATTCAGAAGTATATTTTACGAGAAGCTGTTACAGAGAAGCATTTCCTAACAGCCTGGATTACAACTGGCTTTTGTTCTTCTTGTTCTTTCACATACGACAATAGTTTTAACAAAAGGGGGAGGGTCATTATTTTTTCAGCATTACACCCTCAATGTATTGGCCACAAACCCCATCACCCAGCATGCTAACCTGGAGGATGCTACATTGGCAAAAACTTGAGATAAAATAGCAATAGCACTTAGACTTATATACCACTTCACAATGCTTTACAGTCCTCTCTGAGCGGCTTACAGAGTCAGCATATTGCCCCCAACAATCTGGATTCTCATTTTTCTGACCTCAGAAGAATGGAAGGCTGAGTCAACTTTGAGCTGATCAGGATCGAACTGCTGGCAACCAGCAGTCAGGAGAAGTAGCTTGCAGTACTGTGCCACCATGGCTCGTATTAAGATAATGGGATTCAGTCATTCTATATTTAATTACCATGTTTCAAAACTGGAAGTTCTTTTTGTCCCCATTTAGCAATGAAGAGTCACAAGCCTATGGAAAGGTATTTCTTTCTACCTTTCACGTGCCCTGTTGAAACCCAACTTTCTGTTCTCTAAGAAAGCTTCAGGAGAATTTCACCTCAAATCATTTGGAGAACTGCAGCCAAAAACTGAAGTTCTTTCTCTAATGTGCACTTTCGTGACTCTGTCTTTTTTTCTGCACAACAAAGCTTCTTCCTAAAAAGCTGAAGTGGCAATTTGCTCTTGCAACTTTCAACAATGCAGCTTTAAGGGCACATTCCTAAAGCTTGAAGGTAATCGGATATCAAATGTAATTGATGAATATTTTGCACTCTCTCATTGTGAGGCAACGTTCAACTATACTTCACCTGAGTCTTCTTGCATCAAGATTGCATGACGGTAATATCAACTCCTATTAGGGATAGCAATCTGGTGCCCATCAGATATTCTAAGACAACAATTCCCATAAGACCTACTTAACCATGGGAACCATGGGAATTGGTCCTTACAACCTGTATACTCCTATTACCTAATGTGATCCCAGGAGGAGTTGCAGAAAGGTGTATGCCTTTTTTGCTTTTGAATCAGAGCACTATATTGTACATCCCACTTTTGCTGGACACCAGGCTGAGGAAAGTTGCACCAGAGAGATAAAGGAGGAATTGAAATCACTATCAACTAAACAGTTTACCTGTTAAAGAGACAAACTGAAGAGTGAAACGCACTGCCTATTCCATGGGAGGTTAACCATCATTCTGAAGTTTTAGCTGGTGAAATTCTGTCCCCAGCAGGAGATGCCGGACTGGAATTAACACAGCCAAAGGGTCCTTAGTCTAAAGACTCTATCCCAGAAGGCAAAATACCTTGATGGTGCTTGTAAATTACCTCCAGGTGCATAATTTCTGTTACTTCTCTCCCCTACCCCCCTACCCCGCCCCCCCTCCCACTATAGGGCTATCTCACTCACTCCCAGCCATAGGGGAAGACAAGACCTGCTTGGGGGTGGCTGTGGACAGTGTCCTAAGTGAGCACAAGCAAGAAACAGTCAGCTTTTGGTTAGACTACACCGAAGACAAGGCTTTCTCTGCAGGCCGACATAGGGAAAAGCAAGTCTGTCATCAGCAGAACAGGACAAAATTTACCATTGAAACTCCCAGCAGAAGGGAACAACTTAGCACCTACCTGTGCTGCTCAGGTGACTGGCTCAGAGAGTGCCACTTGAATGCAGAGCCCTGAGGGAGAGGTGCAAAAAAGACAATTAGCCAAGAGCATAGCAGGAGGCAGGCCTCAAAACCTCATTCAGATACAACACTGGTGGCACTGAGCCAAGGACCAAGGGAGCCACAGAGCAACCCCTGAGTCAGAGGCCTTAAAGGCTGCGTATGAAGCACATTTTCCTGCCACCTAATGACTCACTCCTCTTTCAGTCCTTAAAGTGGTATCAAGATCTGAGAGAATCTTTTCCTACCTTGTTTACCGAGCTGTTGTAAGAATTACCAGGGTCATTTTCATTATGTGTGCTTTCAACGATGCTAAAAGACTCAGTTTTGTCAGCTTGCTCTGGAGGCCTATCACTGCCAACCTGGCAGTATAAACAGGTTGCCAAAATGAAACAAGGCCTCTGCCTTAGCCAGCTAACTCCAAAGCAGAGGTTGTTTTGGGAAGCCGATTGCTAGACAAGAGGCCATTCATGCAGTTGGTTAACAACACACAAAGGAGGGGAATTCGGATGGGGAGCCTGCTGGAGGCAAGCTGAGGAGGCATTCCCTGTTCTTCATCCTGTACCACCCCCACCCCCCGATAATCCTGATCTGGATTATGTTTCCTTCATCTCTGGCTGATGTTAGAAACAACAGTTCCTTTGCTCCAGGGGATGTCTGTCCTCTGATGCCATCATCAGCCCAACTTGGATTGCTACCCGTAAACTGGCTATTCACTTTTACGAAGCCACTTGCACAATGCATGAATGAGAACTCCTCTACACTGAAAGCACATTAGGTCCTCATTCATGGACATTCAGAATGAGGTTTCTGTTTCATTGCTTGAAGCAAACAACAACAACTGTCAAGGAAGCCAGCCGAGATTTGCATCATGTGACTAAAAAATTATTGATCAAAACAAATGGCACATCACCATCTAGAGTGCTGAATCTCCTAGGGGCATCTTGGTGCTTTATATCCACACAAGCCTGAAGATTTCTTAGAATGGCATCTCAAGCTTGGTTAAACTTCCCCACCCCAAAACCTCAAATGCCAACTAAGAGGGTCTTACACCCACCACCGGGGTTGATGAAAAGCATTGAGAAAGTCACATCTGAACACTGCAGGCTTTCAAAGCTACATGGCTTGGTGCCACGGAAAAAGAAAAACCTTTGGAAGAGAAAGCCCATTTTATTCTGAAGCCCTAATTTTAAAATAAAATTAATTGCTAAGCCCGTTCTGAACAAAGACTTTCATTGTTGATGCTTCCACACAGTACATGATGGGAACTGAAATTTGGAGGACCAATTAGGAAAAAAAATTATTAATATAAATGGATTCAACCACCCTCAGAGGTGGGTGGGGCCCCACATGCATGCCGTGTTGTGTCCCCTGAAGAATTTCAGCCATCTTGGCATAATGGCAAACAACATGGCAATTGATAATGCTCTGGCTTTCATTAAACTTTCTGAATTGTACAAGGGTGCAAACGTGCATGTCTTTGGTTTATGGCTGAACTCAACGTCTCCTGCAAGACGCAGCCAAGAAACGAAGCATCAGTTTTCTATTAGGCAGCAACACATGCAATTGGAATTATGCTTGAAAATAAACAGCTGTTCATGTAAGAATTCTTCCTGCCCGCCTCTGACAAGCAAGCACTCCACCCTCTTCCCCCAGCCTAGAATGACCTGTAGGCACCGAATCCTTTTTTTATATGCACGGCTGCAACCATTTGCAAGCGTTTTTAAATTTGGGTCCAGAATTGCAAAATGACTTTTTAGAAGAGATCAAATGAGGTCCTAATACCACTCTATAAAGCCTTAGTAAGACCACACCTAGAGTACTGCATCCAGTTTTGGTCACCACACTATAAAAAAAGATGTTGAGGCTCTAGAAAAAGTACAGAGAAGAGCAACCAGGATGATTAGGGGACTGGAGACTAAAACATATAAAGAACAGTTATAGGAACTGGGCATGGCTAGTCTAGTGAAGAAAAGGATCAGGGGAGACATGATAGCAGTCTTCCAATATTTGAGGGGCTGCCACAGAGAGGAAGGGTTCAAGCTATTTTCTAAAGCAACCGAAGGCCAGAGAAGGAATAATGGATGGAAACTGATCAAGGAGAGATTCAATCTGGAAATAAGGAGAAACTTTCTGACAGTGAGATCAATCAACCAATGGAACAGCTTGCCCTCAGAAGTTGTGGCAGCATCACCACTTGAGACTTTCAAGAAGAGATTGGACTGCCATCTGTCAGAAATGATGTAGGGTCTCCTGCTTGGGCAGCGGGTTGGACTAGATGACTTACAAGGTCCCTTCCAACTTTGATTATCTGTTAAGAGCGTGGGGGGAAGGGAATGGTAAAAGCAAGGGTGGAGACAAAGGTTTCCAGCTCCATGTTGGAATGAAATGGCCCTGCTTGTCAAGCTGGACAATGGCATTTCAGTAACCTCGACAAACTCCCATCAGTGAAGTGGGATATTTGGGTGGCCTGCTGAAAATGGAGTAAATAGATTTGAATCCTAATGTAATGGCAGTTGTTTCCCAAGGTACATGGGAAGTGTCTTCACTCTTTCCTCCAGAGAAGTCTGGATGGAACCCAGGAGGCTGTAGCAAGCTAGTCCAAATTAAAATTCTACTTAATAAAAACAGCAGGTACTTATCCAGACATTCTGCTTCGGAGCTGAGAAAAAGCAAAGACAGGGCTATGCTAATTTCAGGAACAAAGGCGATATCAAAATAGTAATGATGGTACAAAAAACAATAAGATGAAAAGACCAACAGAGTGACACAGAGATTGGTTTCCTACTGGTGGGAGATGAACATGCATCTACTCTGTGCTTAAGCCAAATGCTTAAATAAGCAGAGCTATTGTGTCGGTCAAGAACCTCTCCCAAATATTCTGATTAACTATCAGGAGGAATGTTTTCTGCATTAAGCTTTTGGTCTACACGTAATATGAAGAATGGTTGCAGGATTTGGGTTTGGCTAGTCTAGAGAAAAGAAGGACTGAGGGAGGGGGGAACACGATAGCAATGTTCCAGTACTTTGAAGGGCTGCCACAAAGAGGAGGGGGTGAACTTCTCTTCCAAAGCATCAGAGGGCAGGATAAGAAACAATGGATGGAAACTAATCAAGGAGAGAAGTAACCTGGAATTAAGGAGAAATTTCCTACCAAGGAGGACAATTAATCAGTGGAACATTTGGCCTTCAGACGTTGTGGGTGCTTCATAACTGGAGGTTTTTAAGAAGAGACTGGACAGTCACTTATCTGAAATGGTGTAGGATCTCCTTGAGCAGGAGGCTGGACTAGATAGGTCACTTCTAGCTCTATTTTGATTCTGATTTTTAATACTAGAACACCCTCTTTTGTTGTTTACAATGAAAATATCAATTATAATTGATAAAAGCATAGTTCAATTGAGTTTTTTTAATGTTCACTGACTACACACCCTTCCCTACAGTTCCAAATCCTTCCTGGTCAAGATCTCTTTTGCCAGGAAGTAAGAGCAATGTCGACTCAAGAGACACATACCGGTTGATTTCATGGCTGGGAGGATATAGGAGATGCACACCTGGTGATGACTTCGGAACCTTTTAGTCAATCCCCATGCAGTTGTATGCATGCATGCATGTATTTATTTTATTTATTTCATTTATATGCTTCCCATTGCACTATCAAGTAACTCTGAGCAGCTTTCAGTCAGAATGCTCACTTGTAGTTCAGTAGAGTGCGTCACTGGCCAGTTTCGGTGGGCCAAGGATGTGGGTCTAACTAACACAATGATGGCAAACCAACAACATGTGTCAAAGGTGTCACACCATCATTTTCAGTGACATAGTGGCATGCACAAACACATCCAACTATTTTTGAAATAGTTTTTTGTGCAGTTTTCAGAGGCTGCATGAGAATGCTGTGTGTTCTTGCACAGCCTGCATCCAGACTTTGTGTGAGAATAGGATGTGCTTTTGCAGTTTTTGGAGGCTGAAGAGGCTATGGAAAAAAAGCATTCTGTGAAGCTGATTCAAGAATGAAGGCTTCATGTGATCGGGAGCAAGCTCGGGTAGGCCGCAGGGGCCTGTCAACAGAAAGAGAAACACCGCCTAAAGGTAAGCAGGGCATGGCAGATCCTGGGACTGCTGGATTGCAGGACAATTGCCCTTTGGGATATGGTGGCGGCAGCCTTTTTGTGTGACAGCAGTAGTACTAGGGGTTAAATCAAAGCCTGGGCCTACACTTCAGGCCCAGCCCCAGCACTGCCACTGAGTACTGCTATTCAGGATGGCCTAGACTGGCAGGTGTTTATGTGTGAGTGTGTGGGGGGAGAGATAGAGAATTGTTTCTCTTTTGCTCAACACGTTTGTGTGTGTGTGTGTGTGTGTGTGTGTGTGTGTGTGTGTGTGTGTGTGACACACCAGCAGAGTCAAGTTAGGCATTTTCCAAATGTTTGACATGCCAAGCCCCAAAGGTTTGCCATCATTGGTCTAAGACGTTGCTGGGATCTTTTAAAGATGCACGTTGTTAAGGCAGGAAAGGAAAAAAAAATACCCAATTGTCCCAAGAACAGGAGCATTCAAAACTTCTTTCCGCCCACCCCCAGCTCAGCTCCAGGCTGACCCTAAGTACAATAGGGGGAATGTTCCAATTCTCCAATCCTCCCTCCTCCCTTTTGGCTTTGAACTGCTGCATCCAGCCAAGGAAACCAAATGCTGAGTTCACAAGCTCAACCTCAGAGCCTTGAAGCTGCCAGCTGGGGGTTCGGTAGGAGGGTGTGCTCGCCTGTCTGCGTGTGTCGCTGCCACGTGTAGAAGAAGCCAAAGAGGCCAAAGAGCCAAGCGGGTTGCTGTTTGCAGAGAGTGTGGGAGCCCACTGACCCTGCTGGGGGATGAGACAGCTTGCATTGCAAACCCACCGGAGGGAAGAACCTCTGGAGCTGAAGAAGAAAGAAGGTCTTGCCAAAAGCAGCAGTGATAGAAGCTTTTCCAAATGGCAACCAGCGGAGAGCGAGCGGATGCTTGTGTAGCAGAACTGC